AGCATATTTTGTCTATGGAAGACAGTGTTAAAAGGTATGAAAAACTAAAAAATGAGATTTAAAATTATATACTGGGAAGACAGGATGAAAAGAAAGTTAGAATAACAATTTTAATCTAAAGAACTTAAATGGAAAACCCAGAAGAAAAAAGAAACACTTCATAAAATTTTTTAAAAATCAAGATGAGAAATAATTATAAAAGTATGCTTAAAATAATTATAAATATACACCAAAAATACAACCTCAAACTAGTTAAAATAAGAATGGTAGAACGAGGACTGGCTTGAGTGCAAGGCAGTGAGTTCAAGCCCCAGGACACACACACACACACACACAAAAGGAAAAAAGAATGGTAGAATAATAAATCAACATAACAAATTATTGTAATCAGAAAGCTAAACTTTATTATATAAAAGGTTAAAAGAGAGATTTACTTCTCTTTGGCAATAATAGATGAAATAGTTGAAAGTAAGCAACCTTATAAAATGTTTATTTGAATACATCAAAGGGGTGAATAGACTAAGTTGTATAATGAGCAGAAAAAAAAATTCAGATAAGTGAAATATTTACAGAATGTCACATATGCTAAGTCAAGAAGGAAACCTCGGAAACTGAAGTCAAAATTGTTATCTAACCTTGATGATGTATAGTTTGAAACCTGTTATAAAATGAGAATTAAAAATATACATATTTGAAAATGATTACAAACTACTAAATAGTCCTTGTATTAAAGAGTACACTTACACAGTAATTGAAAATACTTCATCTGAACAGCAAGTTCATATTGAAATTTGTGGAATACAGCTAAAGTAGTACTTTGTGTAAATTCATTACTTTAAATATATCCATTAGAAAACAAAAAATGTTGAAAATGGCTTAGGTAAACTCTCCAAAGTTAGATGAAAAATCAAGAGAGAAAATAATCTAAAAACAATGACAAAAAGAAAAGAGTTACAAAACCAAAAGCTGGCTTTGAAAAGACTAACAAGATAGATAGAATTGTTTAATAATAAAGTAAGGTGGAAATAAGATACAGAGCAATGAAGGAGACACAACTATAGTCACAACAGGAACATTAAGATAAATATTATGAACTGCGTGCCAGTAGTTGTGAAAACTTAGACAAATGTATAAGTTCATGGAAAAACAAAAATAAGTCAATACTGGTAAAATAATTCAATTAAACCACCAAGTATTAAAGATATTTAAATAGTAATTAAAGTGTCCCCACCCCTCAAGACCCTCAAACTCAATTTTATAAGAAAGTACTAAAAACTTTCAAGAAACACGTAATCCTTACCTTATAAAGTTACTGGAGAAAATGAAGAGGAGAAAGACCTTAATTCACTTACATTCTAAAGTGAACCAGTATAATTTACTCAGTAAATTATAGTCCTATTTGGCTTATGAATTGTAATGCAAGAATCTTAAATGAAATATCAACTTACTAAATCTGTTTATTAAAAATAGTACAATATAATCAAGTTAAGGCAAGGATGGTATGATAATAATTTTACTCATTTTAGTAATTTACCTCTATAATGCAGTAAGATGACAGGAATGTGACTCAATGCAGAAAAAAAAAATCACAATAAATTTCAGGAGCATCTTGGATAAAAATCCTAAAATACCCTTGATGAAAACTTGCTAAAAGCTTACAACAACAAACATGCTTAAATCCTTATAACATGTTGGTCCCTTTAACACTAGGATTAACATAAGAATACTGTTTCATATATACTAGAGGGCCCAGCCAATGGAGTAAAACTCTCCAAACTCTAAAATAAGAAGAATAAGGTTTTGTTTTGTTTTTTTTTGTGGTCCTGGGGTTTGCACTCAGAGCCTCACACTTGCTAGTCAGGCACTTTACACTTGAGACACTCTACAGTCCAGAAACATAATATTGAAAAGAAAGAGAACAAAATGAATCAATAGAATCAACAGGGAAACTAGTAGATCTAATGAGAGAGTAAATATTTTGTTTTTGCAGCAGATTATTAGAAATGTATTAAAACACAAGGTGTAATTTACAACTAAAAATAATTAGGAATTATTCTAACAGAAATATAGGACTTCTATGGTGAAAATTTGCAACTCCATTACAAAAGCAAAAAAGACCTGAGTAAGTAGAAGTAGCATGTTGGTGCATAGGCAAATACCACAAGAATGTTAGTTTTCTTCTAATAACAAATTACTGGTAAATTGATTCAAAATTCTAGCAAGAGGTTTCAAGCAATTTAGCATATTTATTCTAAAATGTATATGAAGGAATCAAAGCCCATGAATAGCTAAGTCAATTTTGAAAAACAGGAGAGGGCACATGTCCGAAATACCAGACAAGATATGAAGAAAAAAGACAGTAAGACATCACAAGGCCAGAGTATTAGGACTGTGTGATATAATATAAAGGAGGAATCATAAATCAGATGGCAGAGAAATAAATTATCAAGGAGAATGAGATGAACAGACTAGCCCAATAGTTTTGAGAGCTACATAGTTGGGTTCCTCCCTCCTGCTGTGTACGAAGGTTAACTCTGGATTAATCATTTATTTATTCAACATATGCTTATTGAGCATCTACTATGTGTAAAGGACTTTTCTGGACACTGGGCTTGCCATAAAAAAGGGAAAAGCATTGTGTTCTCATTGAACCCTGAATATAGTAGATAAAACTGCAAAATCAGTAGAAAATTTATTATCATTTTTTCATGATCTTGGAGTGGGGATGTTCTTACACAAGAACCATAAATACACAAAGCACAAGTCAAAAAATATTTGATGAGTTTGATTATATTATAACTAAATATGAGCACACTGTGACCCACTGATATGGTCCAGGAAACCCTCACAGTTCCATAAGGAGACTCATGAAAGGTTGTTCATTGCAGTGTTGTTTCTGGTAGAAGGAAACTGGAACTGACATTGATGCATACTATGGAATACCATGTGTCAGAGGCACTGAATTAGATGTACACCCAACAATATGGAGTAGAATCAAACAGCACTGCATGAAAGAAAGCAATAGCAGAAGTGGAGGAATGGCAGCATATCATGTAAATAACTGCCAAAGGTACATATTCACAACCAATTCTGTATGTTCTATAAGGGTACATCCACACCCAAGGCCTTATATCAGAAGTATAGACCTGGTTCCTATGGAGGGGGAGAAAAATGATATTAAAGTACATTCTTATAAGAGCTGATGAGGAGGAGGAATGTAATTGCTCTCCATATCTAAGTCTAGGGGGTGTGGGGGACAGCGGGGAAGAGAGAGATTCCCACTATGATTGGTAGAGAACAGAATAGAGTTTGATTATCCTTTCTCTAGGGAAGATACCTTAGAAGTCAGACAGTCTAATTTCTTCTCAAGGCCGGAATCATCTCTCTCACCTCTTTGGAACACATTACCCTTCACTTGAACCACCACACAGGGCAGACTGTTACGATGTAGACTAGCTCTCACAGGTTTAGCCTTCTTTCTTATATTTGGCTAAAATTGCTTTCCTTCAAACCCTAACAACTGGTCTGAGTTCTGTGGCCTGACATTACCCATTGAGTCTACATCTTCTTTCACATGATAGCACTTTGAAAATAGTTGTTAATAATTTATCTTTCTTCTTTCACTCCCACAAACCTAGATTTTCCAGTCGTTCCTCATGTGACCTGTTAGGGTCTTCTGAAAACTGTCAGGGATTTGTAGTGTGACATCAACATCAGCTATTTAAATGTGGCTTGCTTGCTTGAGAAATGCACTGAAATCCCACTGGAGGCCAAATATTGTACAAAATGCTATGCAAGGGAACTCAAAAAAAATGGAACTCACTTCTAGGAGAGTAATAATGAAAAGATCTTGACAATGGTCTTAATCTACTGGATTTTGACATGTATAAAACTCAGCAGATCTCTGCTAGGCAGAATGAGTGATCACATTTTATATACTGATTTATTCATCCATTTATTCAAGAAATATACATCGAGTATATTTCTGTGCCGAGGATTGCTGTAGGCTTTGGAAACTTGAGGATTCTTATCAGTACAGTGAAGAAAGAATCAAAGACCTAGAACTAATGCCAGGGAGCAGAGACTTGCTTCTCGGGTCTTGTGCTGAACCAGCCAGAAGGATTTGGCTTCCTCAGCTCTCTGAACATGGCTGCATTTCACGCTTCTCTATTTGGTAGTAGTTGTAGATTGCTGCAGTACAAGAATTCACAATGGTTCACACTTTGGGGCTTCAGCCAATGTCTGTTCATGTCATCTGGAAACCTAGTTCCTTTCTTTAATAACTTTGAAAGTAAGATTGGGGCTGGGGGGAGAGGGGTAAAATGAACCAGTAGAGTTTCAAGATAAAGGGCATAGAACTTGGTATATTCTAAACTAACCAGGTCTTTTCTCTTTTTTAAAATTTCTCTTGTTTTCTCTCCCTCTGTCTCCCACCTGTAGAGAAAGGGTCTTGCTATATAGTCCAGGATGGCCTTGAACTCTCAGTCCTCCTGCCTCAGACTCCTAGGAAGCTGGGACTACAGATGTGAGTCACAATGCCTGGCTTCTAACTAGTTCTTAATTAACATTTGGAAGTAGCAGAAAAATTGAAGCTGTAAAAGCAATTTAATTCCCAATCAATAATTTAAAACCTAGCTTCTGTGTAGCAAATGTTTCCACACTGTGGAGTATACAAGGGAGATCCAATCATGTTTTAACAGCACTTTAGGACTTAAGTGGGACTAGAAATACTCATACTCATAGGAGAATGTCTTTAAAATACCCACATACATCAGTCCTGGATTCTCCAACTTCACCTGACAAAACCAGGCTCCACAGAGAAACTGGGCCTGTATATATCACCGAATCACTTGTGTTATAGATGACAAAACTGAGGCCTAGAGAAAGGGAGAGCTTTGCCCAAATTCTCAGAGCCACAAAACTAGAACTCAGGGCTCTGAACTGGTTGCCAAGTGTTTTTGGGGTTTTATTTATTTATTTATTTTTATTAAGCAACCCTTCTGATTGTCCTGTTGGAAGGAGGTTGTCAACCATGATATAGTGGTGGTGGCTTTAACAAGTCTGGGAGAACAGGTTCAGTCTGTCCCATTCCAAGAAAGAAGAGAGGCTTTGAAACTTCTCGTGGTATGCCAGGAAGGCAGAGCTGTGGGGAGTGACTTCCTTGGTGCTCCTGGACAGAAGGCCTTCAGTTACGCAGACCATGTGGGTCTCCATTGTCCAGTAGAATTTGGCATTGCAGATTTACACCTGCAGAAGTGGCCACCAGTGCGAGTATGCCCAGCTCTTCTCTAACTTGCTTTGTCCTGTCTCCTTATTGTCAAGGCAAGACATCCACATAATCACTGTCACTGTTCACTGTGGGGGGAGGAAGTAGAGAACAGCCATGAAATTTCCACCCAGAAGCCACATCAACCAACCCCAAACAGGGGAAAGAAGACCAGGTACAGAGGAATCTTGATGCCACATCAAAGATTGAGGCACCATTGAGGGCTTTTTTAGCAAAATAGGGGTCCTTTTAGAAATGAAGCCTTAATTTCTAGTACCAAATGTTTTCATTCACTAGTGAAAAACCCATGTCTTCCTTAGAGAAGGAATAGTTGGAGCTTGTTCTAAGGAAAGGGGAGGAAGATGAGCTCAATCGGAGGATATGTCTCCTTCAGTGACTGAGTAATTGGAGCTCACTCTGTCAAGCATGGGTGTGTGTGGTCAGACTCTAGCCCAGTTCTTGAAGAAAATCTCTACGGGGTTCCTTCTCTTGGGATTTGTAACCATTTTATCATTACTTAGACCAACGTTTGAGTGGTCTCTAGCAACTCTTCTGGATTTGCCCAAGGGCTACAGCACAACTACATTTCTTGGGGTTCTGACTCTGACATCTTTTATGCTCTTTAATTCTGCAAACTTTGGTGGAAAATGCTGTGAGACTACAGCTGAGCTGGACCTATGGAAAGTGATTGTGTTTGTAATGGTGTATGCTTCCTTGCATGGCGGTGAGAGGACAGAGCAACAACGGTGTGGGAGAGGTTTTATTTTACTCATTTAACCTCCATGCTTAGTCTTACTGGGGAGGTCAGAAGCTTACTGTGGCAGCCCCAAAGGATGACTTTGCTCTAGCAGAATAGAATAGATGTGGTGAACTTGTGGGGAACTCCCCTTTGTTCTTCTCTCATCATCATAACTTCCCACTGACAACTGCAGTCCTTTTCATTGAGAATGTAAAGATATGTGTCTCCATGAAAAATCAGGATTAAACCATAAATGTCTCTGGAAGTCTGAGTTTAATTCAAAATGCATTGCAACTGACAGATCTCAGATTCTTTTCTGAGAGCAGACTTCAAAGGTGAGGGTAAGCTTGTGATACAATTTAAGAGCTCTCAGTACAGATTGTCCTCACATTTGACTGACCATCTCCCATCCTCCTCCATGGCTTCATACGTTTAGGGATAGATCTGAAATAATTTGTCACTCACCACCTTATAAGTGAATGTTTAGCAAACATTGAGCAAAATGTAATGAGATAAGCTTTGGGGAGGGAGTTGAAGTGACATTCTCAGTGAAAAAATCTGTCTATGTGTCTATTTATTTCCAAATGAATGGACTGCACAGTCACAGAATAGATTCAAAGTCAGTTCTTTGCCCAGGAACCAGATACTATCCTGGCTGTTCTAGCATAAACAGCTCTATGTCTTGGCCACCTGCGGAGCTAGAAGACACCACTTCTCAACAAAGTAGAAATTTCTCTTATAAGGATGAAGCTTTTTGGAGGTAATGTAGAACAAGTTATCTATTTGCATCAATTTTACAGAGTAGACGATTGGTGGAAATAGGATCAGGGATCTTTCTGAGCCCCATGTATAAGCTTTTACCGTAGATATTGCTGTTCTGTTGTCGTGACCTTCTCCATCTTGGGCAGAAGCTGGTTCTCTTTATTGGGTTTAAAAGGTGAACCACCAGCCCTTGACCTGGTTTTTCATATGTTGCTATTAATTCCTTTAGGTCTGGGAATATCTGTTTTGGAGCACTTTCTGCGGTCTGCAAAAATACAACAAAGGTCACCATCCTCGTGCACTTGTGTGGGCATTGTGACACATCTTGCAACAGTGGTTTTAAGGGATGCTTCTGAGAAGTGACAAACTGAAAATAAGAGGCAGCAGCTATCACTTAAGAGCTCACACCAACTGCATTTCACAAAAATTCTTTGTTTTTAAGACCAACACTGAATAAAGAGGACTTCCAATCAAGGAGTTCCAACTCAGTCTGCAATATAGCCTGAGTCCCATGCTTGCATGTTTGTTTGGAACAGAGTTCATGTTGTAGATACACCGGAAAGGGTACCCCTCGAAGACTTATGCCAGACTCCCAGCCATAATAGTAGGTTTTGCTATCTTAGGGGACTAACAGAGGTAGACTTCTGATGGACAATGCAAAATATACAATTTATATACATGATAAATGTAGAATCTCCATGTGAGGAAAATCAGACAAAAAAAATCCCTCTGGGTACTGGTGGTTCATGCCTGTAATTCTAGCTACTTGGGAGACTGAGATTGGGAAGACACAATTTGAGACCTGCCTAGGGAAACAAGTTTGTGAGACCCCCATCTCAAAAGGAAAAAGCTGGGCTTGGAGGTGTTCACCTGTCATCCCTGCTGCAGCAGGCAGTGTAAAATAGAAGAATCAGGCTGACCTGGGCAAAAAGTGAGACCCTATCTCAAAAATAACCAGAGCAAAAAGGACTAAGGCATGGCTCAAGCACTACAGCACCTGCAGTAGAGCACAAAGCCCTGAATTCAAACCCTAGTAAGTCCCAATTTAAGCTGAAAGTAGGAATATCAGTGAAATTGCAAATCATTGTCTTCTGTCTACCAGCTATAATCCAAATACTATTTTCTGACTCAACTTTTTAGAATTATTTTTCAAACAAAAAGAATTCACTTCCTCTGCTCTTCTGTATTTGGTTATCTTGATCATCACTGTGGTTCTTATTTGGCTACTGCATGGCCTAGGAGACGCGTGGTAGTCAGGTTTTCTCCATGGTAAAGGTGAAGGTTAGGTTTTCTCCATGGTAAAGGTGAAGGTTAGCAGTGGAGTTATCTGTAGGGAGGTCCCCTAAGGCCATCACTTCATCCCAGAGCATCATCTGCCACAGGCCTCTGAGTGCAGACCTTCCCCCAGTGTAATGTTCTTTGTGTCTGAGTTATAACTGAAGTCCAGATAAGATATAAAACAGATACCAGGGAATTAGCCAGAATTGCACAAGGTATACCAATGAAAAATGTTTTAAGTTGCTTTTTAGAAGGTTTTTTAATTTTGAAATTATTGCAGACAGAAAAGTTGGAAAATGTTTTTAAAAATTCCCTGTGTATCCTTCCCCACACCCTACATAGAAATATTTTATTATAAGAGTTTTCTTCTCTTTCTAAACATCACACATATGGGCATGCGCACATACATAGGTATAATTCTTTTAATAATCTTTTTGAGAGCTAACTTGCAGACATGACATTCCTTTAGCCCTGAGCACTTCAGTATTTTATAAAAAAGAAAGCATCACACAACCGTACCACCATGATTAAAATCCAGAAATTAACCTTGATGCAGTACTGTTTGCTATTTTATTTAAATTTTGAATTTATTCTAATTTTGCCAATGGCCTCAAGGATATCCTCTATAGCAAATGAAAAATTATATACTTAAGTTGTTTTAGGGTCATCACATATTCTAGTCTCTTTCAGGTGTTCACAGTGAAATGTGAGTATATTGAAGATTCTGAGAAATCTTGTAATTAAAGATCTGCTTAACCTTGTATGCAAGTTTTTCAGAAAGGTTATTTCAGAATTCTGTTAGTAACTAAAAATTCAATTACATTTATTATACTTCATTTCTTAAGCCAGATAAACTAAATTCAAAAGAAGCAAAAAGGTTTTCATGCTTAGTTTGCGGTGAGCAGGAAAAATTAAACAACTCCCTAAGACATAATTATGTGATGCTTCTCTTCTTTGGTTTCAGACAACCATAGAGCATTCTTGACTTTCTGAATATGCAGAACTCTCCCCACCTTCCCTTCCCGTTCCCATCCTGCATCATTGTTTAGTTTTGTAATTCAACAATGGTTGTAAATAGAGTCCAGATTGGTGCATTTGACCATTGGAGGATCAGGGTTGTGTGACTCTGCCCTCTGGAATAAGTCAAGGTTATTCTAGTGCCTTCCTAATTCTCTCAGAGAAAAACAAAACAAACTATTGAGCTGACTCCTAACTCTGTGTGGCATCTTCCTTTTAGCATGTCTTTATGTGGTCACATCTCAAGTTCAGGAGATAAGTTCATCAGGTTCTATTCTCTTAATTTTTGCATGGTTGCTGCAAGAATGTTTCTGCATTCTTACCTGGATCCTGTAATCCCCATTTTTCTCTCTGAAGATTCGGTATGTGTAGACAAAATTTTTAAACCTGTGGAAAGAGGATTCTGTGAATCATAATGTTCTTATATACAATCCTATGTGACCATTACATTTTTTACGCAGTGTCTTGATCCCTAGTCATTCTCAGGCCTCTCATCTATGGGATTTGAAAGAAACAAGGGTTTTTGAATCAAGGAGTACTGTGATGATGACAGAAGTCTAGACTCTAGTAAAGAGGATGAAGAGAAGGAATTTATAGGTTCTTGGTACTTCACTCTAGTTCTTTCACTTAGCTTTAAGTCAATAACAGCATACAAAACACAATTGAGCCATGTCCGTGCTGTTTATTAAATGATGTGTCATTGACTGTGTTAGAGATAGTTAGCATAACTACAACAGAGAATATTGGGAATTTTGTCCAAGGAAGTGATATATTGTGATTTTGTTCCTCATTGGAACAGGAACCATTGGCTAACTCATCTAACCATAATTCATATAATAGACCCAAGTAGCAATTTTCAAAGCAAGAAATAGCATAAATGCCATATTTCTTCAACTCCAACGTGTCATCAATAGTAAGATACATTATTGATTTTACAGTAGCTTTCCAGGAGAAAAATGCTCATATCAAATTTCTCTAACAGCTGTTGGAGATGTTCTGATTTCACAGAAATATTACAATATAAAAAGTGAGCTACACAGAAGGAGGAGATGGAGGATGGTGGTTTGAGGCCAGCCTGCCCACTGCTCCCCCTGCCAAATGTTTGCAAGACCCCATCTCAAAGAATAAGCCAAGCATGGTGGTGCACACCAGTTATCCCAGCTACACAGGAGGTGTAGATAGGAGGGTCATGGTCCAAGTCCCACCTGGTAAAAAATGTGAGACACCATCTGAAAACTAACTAAGGTAAAAAGGGCTGGAGGCATGGTAGGACGCTTTCTTAGGAAATGTGACATCCTCAGTTCAGTCCTCAGTATTAAAAAAAAAGTGAGAATCAAAGACATTGACTATTCAATCGATGTGTTCCTCTCCCCTACTCCATGCCAAAGCATCAAATGACCAATCTTCTGACTGATGTAGCATGTCAGGTTGTTACTTTCAGCTTTTAGGTACAGGCAGCACACTATGGGAGACTTCATCACTAACTGTACGGAGGCTTTGGTAACTAATTTCAATCCTAGCCCTTCTTTGGGGTTTCCTGAGACCAGAGTAAGCGACAAGGTGTCCCCAGATCATATGGCAAGCAACAAAAAGTTTTATATGTGTACTTGTCCACATGTGACAAATTAAAGTATCCATAGTTGGGAAAAAAAGTCTCGAAAATATTTTCTCAAAGTATTGTTCAAATTGAAACCCCCAAAAGCCATACATTATATCAGTTTGCATATAACTGTTAAGTTCTTAAATAAATGAAGTTCTTAAATATTGAATTATCAGCCTAAGAAAATTCTCACTAGAGGACCATCAAATACTAAAACATATGGACGGTTTATGTTAATTAGTCTAAACACTATATATAAAGACAGACATTGCTCAAATATGGTTTCTCTTTTTTTCTGCCAAATATGCTACATGAACCAACCGCCACATTACAAGAAATTAATTAATTGATCTTGTGATATTTATATGCATTTATTTTAGAGTGTTTACCAACAAACACTAAGAGATTACAGAGCAGGAGATGAATATCTACTTCATATGATGCTGTGGTTTGAATGTTTGTGTCCCTCCAAAACTCATATTGAAACTTAAGCTGCATTGTGATGATAAGGAATGGGGCCTTTTGGAGGCTGATTAAATCATGATGGCTCTGCCCTCAGGAAAGGGATTAATGCCTGAAGTGGTTAATCTTGATTGTCAACTTAGTTGGATTGAGACATAGCTAAAAAAGATTATTAAAACACATTTCTGGTGTGTCTGTGAGGGCATTTCCAGAGATGATTAATTAAGGGTTGGGGGTGGGGAGAAGACCCACCAGAATATGGGTGGCACCATCTAACAGGCTGGGAGTCTGGATAGAAGGAGGAGGAGGAAACCTGCTAGTTGCAGGTATTCTCTTTCTCTGCTTCCTGGCCTCCATCTTCCTTTTGCCACCACAAGCTCAGAAATGGAGGAGCTAAGTGAACTTGGAATGAACCTCTGAAACTGTGAGCCAAAGTCTTTTCTTCTTTAAACCATTTCTCTCTGGTATTTGTCACAGAAAGGAAAAGTCAGATGAACATAATGCCCTTATAAAAGGCTTCATACTGCTTCATAGCTGTCCATTCTGTATGTGAGGACATAATGTTTGTTCTCCTTAGAGGACAAAGCGCCATCTTGGGAAGCAGGAAGTAAAACCTTACTGCTGGTGCCTTGATCTTGGACTTCCTGACCTCCAGAACTGTAAGCAATGAACCATTACTTGTAAATTACCCAGCTTAAGGTATGTTGTTACAGCAATAGGAATGACCAATATGACTATTGGTATTATTAGGTAAACATAAAAACTTATTTTTCATGCCCTATTCTACTTACTATTTTATAAGTGTTGTTCATAACACTTTTTTTAACAGTAATTGATAATTTTATTCCCTTCATTACTTCTCTTCTTTTATTTTTATTTTTTTTCTTTTATTATTCATATGTGCATACAAGGCTTGGGTCATTTCTCCCCCCTGCCCCCACCCCCTTTCATAACACTTTTAAGTGAGATCTGAATTTTTTCAGTGTGCATTTATACAAAGTTTTGTAAGAAGATCATGTTTCCCCAGGATTTCCTTATCATAAGGTGATAAGGGAACCCCTCTTTATTCCTGGGACCCCAGCCTTACCCCCACTCTCTATTCCTTGAATTCATCCATCTAATCTCACCATGCCCTTTATCCTTGTTGGTAATTCCAAGAACCTGCAGTCTGGCAACCCATCCTTGAGTCTTTGTTCTAATCCCACAAGACTCTGTTTAGTCTCTGTCATGTCCCCTAATCCCCAACTCCTGAAATCCTCCCACTGTGCTCCCTGGAACTCAAGGTCCACTATAGAATCATATAATCAACCCCTCTTGTATCTTCAACCTGTTCTCTAATCATACCTGTCACCTTCTTGCTATCAAGGAGACATGCTGTCCCCAAACCCACACTAGGACACTGCTGACACTGTGCCCCTAGAAGAGGCTGCTTCTTCCTCCCACTGGCCTCTCATTATGGGGCCTAAGCTGAGGCCACTGTTCTTGCCCTCAGGGATCTTCAGTGCAACTTTCATCCTTTGACCCTCTGCTTTGAGTTTCTTGCCGCTGGATTATTTTACCTTTACCCCTCATCATTGACATCTTCTGACCCTTGGGTTATTGGTCTCTGGGTTTTAACTCCTATCTCACTGTTGCTGTCCCCAATTTATTCTTATCTAACTTTTTGATGATTTCAGTTCACCTCAATTTCTCAGTTCTTTGAACTCCTCTCCTCCAATGATCTTTAACCCAGGTAGAGTCCTGTGACTGTATTACTGCATGCTATGAAGAGCCCTGATCACAACTTTGACCTTGAAGTTGCCAATAATGCAACCCCTTCATAATCATAATTTCATTCAACCCACTCATTCCCCCTTGCTTCTTGTCTTTCCAGATTTTTCTCTAGTATGTGACCTCAACAATTCCTTAACCCCATGGACCTTCCAATGCATCAATTCCTCCACTTTTCAAGGCTCTACTTCTGCATGTCTTCACTTGCTTCTTTTTCCAGCTTAAATTACTTCCCACCAATATAATCACTCCTTAAATGCAAATCGTGCATATAAAAGATAGATGTGTGTGTATGCAGGGTTATTCCTGACATGATGGTTTGATGTAGAATTTTAAACTTTACGATTTCTTCTGACTTTATGATGGTATGAAAGTGATATGCATTTAGTAGAAATCATGCTTCAAACAGGCCATGGTAGTATGCGGCTGTAATTTCAGCATTTGAACAGGGGCACGAGGAGCCTAAGTTTGAGGATAGTCTGGGCAAGTTTGAGGCCAGTTTGAGCTACACAGTGAGACCCTGTTTCCAAAAAAAGGGGACGGGTGGGAATCATGCTTTAAATTTTGAGGTTTTGATCAGTGTGCTGTACCATTCTCTGTCTCAGTGCTGGGCCGTGGTAGTGAGCCATAGCTCCCCGTCACAATCATGAAGGGAAACACTACGGTACCCTGTGCTGTAAGCTAAGCTAGTCAGCAGGTCAGAGGCATGAAGTGCATTTTTCACAATACTTTCCATTTATGATGGCTTATTGGGACTAAAACTCATAGTAAGTCTAGGATCATCTGTACCTTCAACTCCTTTACCATCTTTCACTTTATTTATTCAGTTAGCAAAACCAGCATCCTTATTAAATCCCACCCTCCACAGCTGTCTGTGACTGGGGAGAGAACAGACACCAATGGAGACTACTTTCTCTAAGTTAATGAAGACCTTCACCCAGGTTCTTAATACTTTCAGGGAATCATTTCTTTCCTCTCCTCCTAAAAAAATGATGCTATGCCTTATTTTTTCTACTTACACTCCACCATCTACATTCCAATCCTTATTATTATTCTTTTTTGATGGTACTGGGGTTAAAACTCAGGGCCTCATGCTCTTGCACTTAAGCAACTCCACCAGCCCTTTTTTGTATTGGATATTTTCAAGATCTGGGCTGGCTTCAAACACAGATCCTCCTGATCTCTGCCTCCTGAGTAGCCAGGATTATAGACGTGAGCCACTGGTGCCTGGCATTCTAATCCTTGTTCTTGACTGATGACTTCACTGAGAAGATTAAAGTCATCAGCAGACAATTCCCAGACTTCCAGCACTACGCCTGTTAGCATCCACATCATACACTCTGCCATTATGACCACAGATGAACTGTGCATGCTATTCTCCAAAGCTAATCCCTCCTGTCTCCACTGGAAGCCCATTCCTTTTCATCTCTTCAAGGACCCAGTTGTAGCAATTCTTTCCCTTCTCTCTGATATCATTAATTGTAATTTTTTACACAACAGCCTGATGGTCCTTTAACACATGTGAGTGAGATCATGTCACTGCTTCGCATGGAAA